AAAAGGGCGCTGGCACCCCCCAACTACATTTTCACCAAGCTTTGTTTGGCCTGGGTGGATATCAATCCAAGTTTGGATCTTTAGACTTGAAGAAGGGCTTGACGACTTGTGTTAAAACAAAGAGAGCAACATGGTAAGAGGGCAGCAGCATCGGTCGAGGGCAGTGACCTCATTGCAATGATAGATAAGGAAAAGACCGTTCCTCTCAGAATAAATGGATTACTAGCTTCAATACGAGAAAAAATTCAAATGGTAACAGATAAATGGGAACGATTTGTATTAAGTGAGAAAGAAACATATTTACTACTGAGAATTGCTACCCAATGACATCTAAGAGGCCCTTCTCACCTTTGTTGTATGCCCAGTTAATCAATGCTACCACCGAAGAGGTCAACTTCGGCCGATACAACTGCACCAACCCAGGGCAACACGATCCCTATAGGGAGACTGAGGAAGTCTTTTGCATCATCGGGAAATCATAGATGTTGATATTTGTATAGGTAACGATTTGTACAGAGGTGGATCGGACGGAAAAATCTCAGAAAGTGCAAACAAATGATTGTGTTCGCTTTTTACCTGAACAAATATTATCTCTCATCGAACTATAGACTTGATCCTGATCATTGGTAGCGATGTGATCACAAGAAACGATACGCTCTGTATGCCAAGCAGTGATATCAATCCTGCATCACGCTAAATTAAGTTGGACGTTGTCCCCTCTCTTGAGGGCGTAAGCATTGAGGATTGTTTGACGCGTTCCTTTTAATTTTCGACTTCCTCATGTTTTTTTTTGGATCTTTTCCCTGGGTGTGGTGCAGCAGGAACGAGATTGTCGGGACGCCGCGCGCGAAGAGATGTAGCAGAATGCAGCAGCAAGTAAGAATTACAGGAACAAAAGAAGAAACAGTAGAATCATGCCATAAGTAATAATCGCATAGCGGTTGATCTGTATGGAGAACGCTACAACTGTTATAACGAGGCAAATGGTCCGCGACAGCCGCGTGCGGCAGATCGTTTACACAAAACCTTTCTACTGCCCGTCTCCCTTTTCCCTGCTGGCTGTTGTTGTTGGGGACCATTCATTCCAGCGGGGAATCTCAGAAGCAATTTTGATCGTGAACGCTGCCTAACGTCGAGTGTGCCTTCAATGGAGGAGCGATTTAAGATTAGTATCTTAAAAGGTGATTTGTTCACAGAAAAGCAAGTAATGATACATGTTATATGAATATCCATATGGTTGATCTCGAAGGTCATGTAGTGCCTAGAATTGTTTCGTCGTATAACCTCACCAGTCGAGTCCATCCTTCCAGGCTCTGAAGAAGGCGAATTCGCCAGTACTTTAGCCATTCAAGATATTTATGAACACCGCTCGAGGTTGTATCATTAAAATAACATCTCTATATATACATAATTACTGATACTAACCAAGTCATGACAAAAAATTCAGTGAAGGTATTTCGAATATTTTGCTCTGAAGTTCTGAACGGCCGCAGCTCGAACGAAGTTCACGAAATTGCGCTTCAGCGTACCGGTAACAGCAACTTGATCGTAACGCAAGCTGAAATAGGAAGTAGGATTAACTGTTTCTGCAGGAAATTTTTTTCTAAAAAAATTTTTTCCTATATTAAAAAGAAATGAATTTAAAAAAATGTCATTGACGTTCCTGCGGAAACTTTAAAAATTTAAGCAGATGAAAATGATTACAATTCCAAGAAGTGGATATGTCTCAATTCATAACAAATTCGGTAATCCTAAGATCAGGAAAAGGCTGGATCTAGCGATTTGCCCATAGAAAAAAATATTTTCGGAAGTCAGTTTCTACTCAATCGGAACTCTTGCTCACCCTTGGGAACATTGTTGTCGACACAGTATGCCCTCATTCCAATAGAATCGTCGGCACTTGTTCTTGCAAACTATTTCATGCACCTGAAGAATAGAATTTTCGTAGGAACTTAATGTTATGGCACCTGTTCAGTGGGATTCCAATAATAATGCCTACAAGTTCTTCTTTGAGGTGAGTCAGGAGGCGCCATGTTGACTAGCAATCGAGCAGAAGTTTTTGATTTCGCTTGCTACGCTTTGCAAAAGTGCACGAGTAGTGAACTTTGATCCTCAGACTTCAGAAGAAGAGCTTCCGCTAACTCCTCACCCTCTGGGAATGAAGTCCATTCGTACCACCAACAGTAGGCGTCCCCATCTTGCCTCCTGTATCCCTTCCAAATTTAAAGGTCTCAGTTCTAAGGAAACAGGAGTTGCAAATGTCCGGCCAAACACACACACATGCATACATACATACACATACACACACGAACGCATACACCGACAAAGCGATTCTCAGCGTAGGATATATGTACCTGTAGTAGGATGACCATACGAAACTGACCTGATGGCATTGTCTGAACTTATACAAAACTCTTCCTTCTCCTAAGCGGGACAGCCTTCTTGTGCTGAGCCCTGTACCCAGTGTCTACCCTTGAAACAGCCTTTCGAACCCTGATTCCGTTGACAGCGGATACAGACTCCTTGAGAAACTCCTCATTGCTATATCCACGTCACTTCGTTTGAGTCTTCTCCGCTGCAGTAGAGCTTGGCACCTCAATCGAATTCTTCAGTCTTTGCGCCTTTCCAGAATGCCCTTCTTGAATGCGTCGGACTTGGTTGTTCCTCTGCCTCATCAGATCAATGAGCTTTCTAGACTTTCCAAAAAGCGGAGGAATTCAGAGATTCAAGATTACTCCTTTGGCTGAGATTGTTCATTCTTCTTCAGCCCACGGAGCTCTAGCATCAGTTCTGCTCATCTTTCAGACTGAGCTTCCCTCACTTTGTCGATTCTTCTTGTAATTTCAACCCAACCACTGGCAGGGTTTCCTCATCAGCTGCCCTGTCAAGCTGGGCCCGATTCTAGCAACATGGTCTTGCCATTGCAGAGTCGCCATAAGTGCAGACCAATCGGCCTACTTTCTTAATCTTTCGGCTATCATCATCTTCTAAGTTGACCCCTATTAATTAGTTCGTTTTTTCACCTTAGGCACTTCAAAATCAGCGTAGACAGAAGAAACTGCAACAATGGATCGACCACCCAGTTCCACAACGTGAAAGAGATCCACAGTCTGTGCGTAGATACCTGAAAATTCATTCATGAAAAGAGCATAACGAACTACTGTGCATTCTCAGAAGAACGTAAACTGCTCACAATGCTTTTATTCCATCGTATAGTGCATGTATGATGCTTAAGGCTAATGATTTGTTATATGCAATAGTGAATAATTATGAATTCAAAAACGTTGTAAGCATGAACATATGTATGCTCTCATATGATTTATTTGTGATTTATTAACTTCCTAGACTACCACCCTTTGCACAAGACAAAGGTTCCTTTCTATAGTAAAAGCTTGTAAGGCAACTACCGGAAGATTGTCGCCATCAGAATGTGCTGGCTCAAGGCTGCTTGAAATCTGTAGGTCGCGCGAAATCGGAGATTTGTTAGATTCGCTCTACGCTAGTGACTGGTTGCAATTGAGAGGCCCCATCAAAAAATTAATATAGCAAAAAGGCAAACTCACCTACAGTTTTGTTGAATGGCTCTTCAGCATGTAGGAAGACTGCACATTCGCCCTCAGTACACCATTTATCTGAGTTCTCCCGCATTTCTCGAGTACGTATGTACTGTAGCATGGATTTGGTAATATCTTCACAAAACATCTTGGTGACAGCTAATTCTTCAAACTTACACTTTCGTTTATGAGCATTCGTATGATATCGGTCGTTCTCGAAGAGTTGATGAGAAACAGCGCCATATTTTCCTCAAATCGAAGATTCCTATAACATGGATCGCTTTACGGTACGGTCTAACCTGAAATGACTCTGCTGAAATCCTAACTTCACAACCTTCAGGGCTTCGCGGAAAATGGCAATCTTCTTTCATGAAGTCCGCTAAATCTGTCTGTCTCTGTCTGTCTGTCTGTCTGTCTGTCTGTCTGTCTGTCTGTCTGCCTGCCTGTCTGCCTGTCTGTCTGTCCGTCTATCTGTCTTCTGTCTGTCTGCCCGTGACAGAATGTCCTAGTTATGAAGGAACGTCGAATTTTTGGAGGGTTTATGCATCGACGTGTGTGAAGTCAAAATGAATACCTCATAAGACCGTTCCAAGACAGAGCATTTAAGGAAAAAATGGTCAGTAATGAAAAGCTTCAGGCCCTAAGGTGAGAGCGAATCCTCACTTTACGGGTTAAGGAAACTGTGGCAAAATTTTGAAATTGAGGGAGGCTTTGGCTCTAGCTATTGACGGCATTACGTCAAACACCAAGTGGTGATAGCATTAAGCTGAAATTACAAGTATCAGAGCCGATATTAGGGTAATCCACCGGAGGAGACGACCATCTGGGGCACCTTTCGATCCCCCACAAAATTTTGTTTGCCAGGGTAACAAAGGTGCGCCTTGGGGATTTGCTAAATGAAATCGGAATGTTCCCTTCCACGAAATATGTACTCTTTCATAGGGATTAATACGTACTCTTTCATAGGGATTTTAGACGAAGATGAGCGCTCAAAAGTGATTGAAAGCTGAAATCCCTTCTATCGTCTCATATTAGTATCAAAAACTTCCCATTTCATCCCGAACTTCTAATGCAAGTGATTCGGATTTTGATTATGATGAGCTAACATAAATGGAAACCTACCGCAACAAAACAGATAGGAACAGTATCGTAACGAACTGTCTACGATAGATTTTGGAAAACTCACTTATAAATTGCTTCTGGCATGTCCAGCGACGTCTCAAAATCGTGGGCTGCTGGTATCCGCAGATTAAGCTTTTCTCGGAATATCTTGGGCATTATCACATGAAATAAGTCTTTATTTCAATAGATATTGAAGAGCACCTTTTTATGCAGAATGCATTTTCAGAGGCTTTGTAATAGAAGGAAAACAGTAAAACGGCATCAGACGTTTGAAAATAACAAAGAACCTCTAAGTGCCTTAATAGATTTAAAAAGTAATGATCGGCATTGTTACCTGACTAAATAGGTAGAATGGGAACTGATGGCCCATAAAGTACATAAACACTTCATCAGTAGCATTAATCGGTTCTCCGGAGATGAGTATACATGAGCAGTTCACCTTAACCAGAATGTTACCTTGGATCTGAGGTCTTACCTTCTAAACGGATTCACCTCGAAATCCTCGATGGGAAGACATGCGTCTCTGTCGACCATGCATGGATTTAATGAAGACGTAAATCGATAAGCAATCAATAACAGTATGGATATTCGTGCCTTTGATGGTTGCATACGTTTGTTATGATTATGAAGTAAACTACGCNGATCGGCATTGTTACCTGACTAAATAGGTAGAATGGGAACTGATGGCCCATAAAGTACATAAACACCTCATCAGTAGCGTTAATCGGTTCTCCGGAAATGAGTATGCATGAACAGTTCACCTTAACCGGAATGTTACTCTGGATCGGACGTCTTACCCTCTAAACGGAATCACCTCGAAATCCTCGATGGGAAGGCAAGCGTCTCTGTCGATCATGCATGGATTTAGTGAAAATGAGAATCGATAAGCAATCAATAACAGTAGGGATATTCGTGCCTTTGATGGTTGCATACGTGTGTTATGATTATGAAGTAAACTACGCGTTTGGCTGTTGAGCAATGCTTGTGATGGTGTAATGCATGATTCGATGTTGGAAGGCGAAAGTACAAATATCAGGACGACCCATGGAATGGACGGTCATTTCACCTGTAAAGAAAAAAGTGTCAAAACTTCAGGGTGAAAAGATAAAATTTCCGACGTAAACCAACTCCTTCTGGGATGCGCCCTGCATTTGGCTTTCATTCAAAACCACAGTGGTGTTGAATGCGTATGTGGTCTATACAATCACTAGTGGTGACCAGCCGATGTACAAATAAGTGCTTCCATCCTCTCAGACGAGCCAGGCACCAATTAATCAACCAAGGAGAATTGAAAGTGTTGTTACTGAGAGTGTAACGAACCGGAAATCAATCCTCGGAACATACTACGTGTCGGTGCGCCACTTGCCGCTTCACCAAATCCACCAACTTTTTATCATCGACTTTGCAGATCTACGTTAAAAAGTTTGTTGAGATGGTGAAAGGACCGACCAAACTCGAACTGTTTAGAAGAAGACTGTCAGCAAGAGAAATACTTACCTCTTCTAGCGAGCAGTCAGAACAGACATGGTCGATTGTTACTTGTTCTACAGCCTTCCATCCTTCCAGGCCGATTGATTCGGGCAATCTTCATTTCGGAGCGTGAACTGTTGGGTAGCCAAGAACATTTGAGGGGTTCCCATGACCTTAACCCATACTTCACATTTCCCAAGTAAATCCTAAAGTTCTCCTCCTACCTTTGCTTGATTTCTAACCCGCTCCGCCTAACCGGTGTGTCCACCCTGTACTAAAACCAAACCTGAAGACCTAGAAAACTTCTTGATTTTGCACTGCTAAACGTTGGCCGATCACGTATCAGCTCAAAAGCCTTAACTTATTTTAACGAACACATTTATTTGTTTCCAAACAATAAAGCCATAAATTACACGAATAATTCTTAGTAAAGTGCAAAAGAAAAATCACCGAGTTACCTTAAAGGCACTGTTCGCGATAATTCAATGGGCGGGCACGTCAATGACGTGTACGCCTCTCATTCGACTTCACGTCAGACTGTCTGACGTGGCATCGAATGAGAGGCGGACACGTCATCGACACACCCGCCCATTGAATCATCGCGAACAGTACCTTTAAACTGGCAAAAAAAAANGCCCTAGAAAATTTCTTGATTTTGCACTGGTAGACGTTGGCCAATCAAGTATCAGCCTAAAAGCCTTAACTTATTTTAACGAACACATTTATTTGTTTTCGAATAATAAAGCAATAAATTACAGGAATAATTCTTAGTAAAGTGCAAAAGAAAAATCACCGAGTTACCTAAAACTGGCAAAAACACAAGAAAACTACAAGCAAAAAGCTGCCAATTTTATATTCAGCAACAAATAAGCAGGAAAAAATAACAGTTACAGGTAAGTAAAAAAATTCTGTTGTCTAAAGCTTTCCTAATGTTTCAACACTACTATGTAACTTATCTATGAGCGGTCAAACAAAACAGCTCATGGCCTGAGAATAATTGAAAGAGATGAGATCCAAGCATCAAAGAGAGGGTTAGTGTTTGTAAAGGGATTCATGATCCCATAGGTGGTGGATGATTCTTACCCGAATTTCTATGGCAAACGGCAGCGACTTCTCTGCAATTACCGTGAACCTCTGATGGGAATTCAGATTTTCCCCTACACAGCGAGACTGTGTATGTGGCTAGCGCGACACGCCCTTCGGGTCGAAGAACCCACACCCGGTCTCATCCAAACCTGACCAACTTATGAATCACCAGTAATCAAAATAGTACAATCGATTTACTACGACTCAAAAAAACGCTGTACAGAATACAAGTCAAACACATCAAGTTAAATCGCTGCATATCGCGATAGTTCGGTAAGAAGTTCAACAAAAAATGGATGTTCTAAGAAATGAAGGCAGCGAACGATACTCTTCGATCTATGTAAAAGGAAACTATGGTCACTCAGGCAGGCGATCAAGTAAACAGGGGTCAGTTAAATGGCCGTACTACATCCAACAGTCCAACGTTTGATCATGAGAGTCTGAGTTCATATGGTGTTCCCCTCCATCAGTCGCTATCGGATACTGAAACATACATATGTGAAGGAACACAAACATCATAACGCTGGCCAACATCGCCTTTCTCTTTCTCACATATTCGCTGTTGAATTACCTTTTTGAGGGGTATTGAGAAGAGGAAGAGCAAGAAGGGAGGGATCGGCCCGCCCATGCAAAAAATGAGCACGTTTATGGCAAACGTAGGCAGATAAATCCCGTCCCAAGTTTGAGTAAAACTTCGATTAAACAGCCCCTTGCCTTGTCACAGTCTCATCAACCCTAGAATGTTTTAGTATCAGGGCATACTACTTAAAGGCACAGTTCACGATGAAAATGGCTTATGAGATATCCCACTAGGTGAATCGATGGTCCCCTCAAAAACTATATGTGGAGCTATGAGGTCGGCAAACGGCCTAAACAGGGCGCTATAAAGGCTCAAAGATTGTCCCGTGTGTATACGCGGACGAGCTCCAACGGCTTGTAGAGGCTGTACCATTCACAAGGGAATCCGTGAAGGAAATTCAAGCAACTTACCATGACCTATAGCGGCAGTGAAAGGCAATTCTGGACAGTTTTGGGTTGGTCTAGTCAACTCTTGGCGCAATTGCAACAAATGAAACCTCGACCAAATACCCCTTCCATGTCAGTTCCGTCATGGTATCTCGTACAATCCCTGTTTTCACTACTTCTGTGGGCCCTATTTTTCGCGGAATCGACGAATTTTCGCACTTCCTTCACCGCCAACGCACTACTCCCAACCAACACTTCCGTTTTTCGACTTGTAAAGGGTACCTACAAATTATTGTGAGTGTTTTTAACTATCGAGGAAAGTTCTATCAATCCATAAGTGAAAGGGAACAGGTCAAGCTATATTCCTATGCGGAGCATGCTGTTGCTTCGAAGAGCATTGCTGATCACAGGACCCGACGGCTCGTTAAAGTATTATAATAAAAACATGAAAATGGAGGAGCGCGACGTAGGGGTAGACTAGAGCAGATAAAGGANAGGACACGCCAAAACGGCATGATCGTCGTAAAATCGTAGTCGGAAGACGTAGGACTTCAATGACAAGATTCTTACCAACTAGATGTCTTCTTCGGGGCTGCCTTCCCTGGTCTCGCCTTGGACGTGCGTTCACCATCTCGACAGCGGCCTCCTGTAGTGTTCCGTAATCAAGTGTAGTCAGCTTACGACAATGAAAACATCACAAAAACAGAAACGAATGCAGATTGTCTCAATTTTGCACCCTATTCTTGGTTACATCAAAAACTTACAAGCATTTCTTGATCGCTGCTGAAAGCTGCGTCTTCGCCTTCTGGTTCTGTGTCACTCCCATCTTCGGATTCTAAGCCGCTTTCTACTTCTTCTGCTTCCCTATCCAGCATTCCTTGATCACTGCTGAGCTCGTTGTCATCACCTTCTGGCTCTCTTTCAGATTCTTCTTCAGATTCCAGATCACTCTCAACTTCCTCCGCTTCGCCATCAATCAGTGGATGCTGAATAGATAGGATATAGCAAAAGAAAGAAATGTCACTGATGAGGTCAACACACGAGAAATGATAAGGAAAGGAGGATACGGAATACCATGCGGAGAAGACATGGTGTTTCGACTTGAATAAAGTTTATTCTGTATGTACTTTATTTATACCAGTAAGACGAATATTCTGATTCCCCACCCACTGCTACAAAGCGAACAAGGATGTCATAGATACAGTAGTTGTGCGTGGTGTAGTTATTCATGGTAAATTTCGCGATACGACACCTGACCGAATCTGCAGGGCTAGGGAAATTAACAAAGACCTTACAGTGAGAGCAGAAGATAAATGAGCCTTGAAGGGGAACGAAGAAATTCTTGACCTTAATGAGAGGGTAAAAAAGCCATGAAAGGCTGAATGATCGAGCTCCGTTAAAAACGCTGGCAAATCACCAAGCGTAAACATTGCTACGACTTTCTCGAAAAATTGAAAACGGTTCCTGTAACAGCGCTTCGCCGTCGTCTCTATGAGATTACATTGCATAGGATACGAAAGAGAATATTGACGAAAGAGCACAAACCTGCTGTTCATTTTCTTCATCCTCATAATCTGTCACATATTCAACGTCGCTTCCATCTTCATCATCCTCATCAGCTTGCTCTTCTTCAGAGGAACTGGAAGGCAAGCGAGATTTCTGCAAAGAAAGTAGGAATTCAATGAGAACCGATAACCATCTTAGAACATATTCCGTTCCAAAACAACTAGGATCTGAGGGATTAGAAGGTTCAGAAACTCCCAGCAGCCATTTTAAGAAGATTCACTGACCAACGTGCAGCAACATTTTTCTCCATTTCTCTACCCTTCACTTATAGCTCTCCCAACTTCCTCTATTGGCACACTCAGTTGTGTAAAAATAAATAACTATGACATGTACTAAGATGGAATTTTCATCATCCCTGCAAACCATATTACTCCTGCAGATTTTAAATGAATTCCGTAGCCCTGGTTACTCGGAGCCTCCACAATTTCGAAAAAATCCAAATCTGTGGCGCGTTCGCGAAGTACTGATCAAGCTAAATGCATGAAGTCCCACCCATCGACGAGAACTCCGCCTTGCTCAAATTCGTAGTGAGGCCAAGGGACCAAATGAGTTACATCTAGTAAATTCATCTACCTTTTTCAGATATCTTTGATGACGACGATCCGTTTCACTTTCAAGTTCTTGATCAAGGAGATCTATTTCGTCCTCTTCCTCTTCTTCTGATCCTTCGCCCTCATCATCAACAACAAAAGAGTCGTTTGAGCAACTATCGCTGTCCTGCATATAATTCGCTCTACTCTCCTCCTCCTCCTCCTCCTCGTCCTTAAACAAATTTCGATTTTCGTTGCAGAAACTAAGCCCTTTTTCCTACGACTCAAACGAGCAAACGATACTTTTTACACCATGCATCGTATTTGAAAAATCCTACCTCAAATCCTACGAGGCCAGCTAAATCCAGCTCGATATTGGAGTCCTGTAAAACACAACCTGGTCAGACTGCATCAAGCTCATACATTCTTCATTTGTGTCAGCCCTTTCTTGTACATATACCCATCAAAAGCCCAGATCACCATTTCATACAAATAAATTTTGAAGATTTTCATTGCTACTGGGACTTGACCTTTTATTGGGAAGAAAAAAAAANAAAAAAAAACAGTTACAATGCTTGCGACATTTTCCTTTAACGCCTAGGTAGGCTATCGTTCCGGTAGCCGTTAGAATGAGATGTTCAGAACCCGGATCTAAGAAGTCCCAAAGCGGTGATATTCCAGAAATCAAATCGAACTGAGGTGGTTTCATATATATCGAAATAACATTCCACTCTTATGCAACTACGCTTTAATGAATCCCGAAATGATCTAGGAAACGAAAAAAAATAAGGGAAGCATAGATTGAGATAAATGCTGCACCGAGAGATAACAATGTAACGGATGTCTAGAGAGAAAGTAAATCTGAGTCCTCCTAAGCAGATCTTCCGTCATATGAGTACTGAATTCGAGCTGCCTTCTCAGGTGAAACCTGCGCACCACTCCTTTTGGGGCTCTATTTGTTAGATCAATAGTTATCAAATAAATAAGCAAAACAGTACCTTCGGATAAGTAGGTTTCACGATGAATTCGTCACATCCAGAAACATGGGGGAGGGCATCAATTCCGAAATCGCACGAGTCTCGCATGCCGCAATCTGCTGCCACACGAGCTATGGCTAATCGCCAATTGTGTTTCCACAGATCTGATATAGAAGATTATGGCAAAAACATCAAAACTGTCGAAGTATGAAGGCACCTCCATACTCCTCAACGAGAATCAGCATCATTTCCACACTCAGCTTAAGAGAAACAAGTCGAGGGCATGAGGAAGCAACATGACGAATGAGGTCGATGAGACGTTCTCGTTGTTCTGACACAGGCATTGCGATTATACTTAGACGTCGAACATCGCTGAGATAGTCAGCAACTTGGTTCAACAATTGTTCAGCACATCGAATTCCCCATACCTAGAACAAGTGATACGGCTGATACTCAAGCAAATATTCATGTTCCAATCTAACTACATATAAAAACCCAGTTAAAAGCACTGAATAGTGCCTGTTAACAATGCGCCACGTATCCGTCTTCAACTAGTGACTGCACTGTCAATTAATTGGCCCATAGCCCTTAGATTAAGCTGCAAAGCGGGGCGGAAACCTGTATTTCCACCTTCCAATTGTGAGGTGGATCTTGCGACAATCGGCAGAAAGTAAAGGCATGGGAATTTCGGTGAGTTCGGGAGAAACTTCACCATGGAAACAATCTCCTTTCCCAGATGGGTGACGCCGATAATTATTTTACACCTTCAACCTATCGGGCACGACCAGAGGATAACTCGAAAGAAAGCTATGGAATTTGAAGCAAAAGTATGCGACTACGAAAAACTTCAAAGATGAAATAGCGAAACGTGATGAGGAGGGGCCTGACCAAGATGACAGCATAACATAGTGTAGATACAACGAGGTGGCGACGACTGACATGGGTGCGGAGTCTGCGACGGCGCTGAATTACCGATAGGGAGAATAGAATAGGAAGGAGAAGAGGTTATGAAGATGGCGAAAATGGTGAGCACCGAGACCCTCGGGTGTCACCGTGGCAGACTCAACTACTGAGAAATAGAGAAGTAATGGAGTGAACTTGCGGCCGCCGTAAACAGTTTCAGGACCTTTCACTGCTACTGGTACACTAGGGCACGCTTAGTCTTTTCCAGAGGCAGGTTTTTCAGCTTCTTCTCTACTTTCTACTACTTTGCAAAAGCCTTACAGTAGCTCCACCTATTAAGCTAATGAACATGTCTCATTAATGGTGCGTCAGCACCCGAACATAGCCCTACCAGAGATCATTGGCTGAACATACCTGTAGATGCAATTCCTCCAGATCTGGATAAGCGTTAACGTTAGCAAGTCGTTTCACAAAGGCCATCAATGACGAAACGGATCGTTGTGCTCCAACTGGAGGAAGTGTTACAGATATTGAGACGCATGTAAGCGACGGTGGCAAATGACAATCGAGATCATAAAACTGAACATAACACGCTCGCTTATAAACCATAATTTTGAATAAATAAATATTTTGAAGCACTCACAACACAAAATCCATCGATATGAAAAGAAAAGTGAGTGAGATCTCTCAATTTGGAGCATGAGTTCTTCTGATGTCCCTCCAACACCCATGAAGTTGGCATTGACGCCGAAAATGCGCAGTGAACGAATAAATCCAAACTATGAATGGAGGTCATCGCCTGAATTTCTATTATAAATAAGTTCTAAAAAATCGGATGGGCAGCTACATCGCAAAGCAGAGCAGAGTACTTCAAAAGGTGCTGTCAAGTTGTATGACTGAAATGCTGTCCTGGAAAGCTGTCCGAGAAAACTTGTGTAACACCATATTATAGCTTTTTTCTCGTGTGTCGCCCACCTTTTCTTACCTTTTCGAGGTTTTTCCTAGCATTATCCTATAGTTTTCGCTAAAACGTTGTTTAGATACCTATCAAGAGAAGCAGTATGTTAATTCTCAGCCTAGAGCTAACCCTACAGGGGTTCAAAATGACATTTTCGTAGTTTTACGCATTTTCACACACTTGGCATCCACAAACATGATCACCTTCATCTAATTACCACGAATGAACTTACTGAACTTCAAAGATTTTTGCTCGTTCCCCTCTACATGGATCGCCTAAGCTTTCTCGGAGATGTTCTTCTTTTTGTGTGCGGGGCACTTTACACAACACCTTAAAAGAACACCACCCACAGCCCCGTAGGAGTTTAGCCGAAAGATCTTAGAACAGTAATTACGAACGGATCGTTCCTTGGAAAAAAATTTGTGCATGGCCCAATGACAACGGTATACGCTCGAAAACAGAACCATCAGCTTTTTAATACTATCACGCACATCAGGACTGGCGCATTCGCCAATCTACATGAAACTCACATCATTAATTCCCATCATTAGCTGTGGTAAGTAGTAGTCCAGCGATACAACAGGCATTGCATGACAATACAACTGTAACAATGGAATCATTCGAAGCAAATACATATAAAATGCAAATATACTACTGAACCTTGAGATGAGTGATATCGAGCTTGAAGCATTCATACTTTGGTTGATTGAACTTGAAAAGAGCCTAAAATCAATTCAATACTTCCAGTTACAATATAGTATACGACACTTATTAGGGTCAACGGACCAGTCGATGGACCAGCTACCAAAGAACCTTTTAAAGCATGAGAAGCGAAGGCTAGGCAATCCAAGCATGCCCACAGTCTGAGAGATATGTGCGAACACCTATCAATCAGACGCACACTGGGCCTTCCCTGGCCTTTTATAGCAGTCTAGAGTGTAGCGCTGGCTTTTCCGAATAAAGGCCAAAGGATAAAGTCTTGGGCATGGACCAATCCCGTCTGGGAGATGCGCCCACGCATTCGACTTGAAGGTTTGGTTGGTCTAGGTGGATATCGATCCGAGAATCGAACCCGTGACCATGTGTGTGTGAAGTGCGCCATTCGGCACTACACCGCCACCGCTTTTTTGAATACTAACAAAATTTTGATGTTTCGAACCTGCATTATGGAATCGAGTGAGCATAAGTGAGTGAGCGATTGGTTCAATTGCCCAAACTGCACTGTCTCGAAAGCGATATTGTTTTTAGCCATACGAGAAAAAAGCTGAAACCATTGCATAAAAATACGACTGACGAAAACGTTCATTCAAAAGAAAAACCTCGTCAAAAACTCACCTTTTCAGGCGCATTCCAAAATGCTATATGGCGAAGTTTTGGAAGGGAAGCTACCACGTATTCAGTTCCGATTCCTCGGTCCCCTTCTCCTCTCTGCCTCGTTGAAACGGGCATATTCCAAAAAGCTTGATAAGATCTTAGCAATACATCCAAGTCAAATCGCGTTCTGCAATCAAAAAAGAAATCTAAAAGCTTTGTAAACAAATCGATAATTTGAAGAAATAAAAGAGCTGCAAATCCTCCAAGATCGAGGAAGGACTTACTCATGCATTGAAAACTGAGCAAAAAAAAAACGGAAGAGGCAAAGGGAACTTCAAAAGGATAACTCACGGATCGTCTGGAACTTTCAGCCCTGTATAAAGATAATCTAGCTTTGGTAAAACCGTAACGATGTCGAAACCATTCATAGATGAAGCGGACGCTGTCACTGATAAAACAGACACTTCAGGGATATCCCAACTCTGAAACGTTTAAAAGATAAAGGATATACTTATTAATCATTCCCGTTTTTGATGCTTTCTTTCTTTGACTTCTATTCAAAATTTTAGTGGCGTTGTTTCTACGGCCTACAAATTACAAGCATTTGCTAGCAGAGGCCATTTCAATGTTCCTCCAAATGGGTCTGGTACCAATTACCCAATCCCGTGGTGAAGGGCATGATTTGCCTAAACAGATACTGGGCCGGGACACGATCCTCTTATCATGGGTGTGCGACAGTACGCCGTTAGCCACAATAACACTTCGGGCCCTCTGAGACGTTTACTGTAGACCAACCATTTTGGCAGAGATCGAATCGAAAACTTTTCTAATTTTGCTACATCAACTGCCTATGAAGTATCTATAACTTAGCTCGAACAAATTCCGCAAGCGACTTGGGAAGCTCGCTATTCAAAAAAAAAATTCGAGAGTGTCCGATTAGTTCTAAACCCGAAGAATTCTACACCATTCCTTCGATAGATTGAGGCATTTAGGTTCAGACTTGCTGACTTATGGCAGTGCAACAGTCAGGAAACGACATTTTCGCCGTCGATCTGTGTCCTCTTGGAATGTCCTTTGCATATATGTATACAGAATGGGCTACACCATCAGATCTTTTCATGACAACTTGCGAGGTTCTCGTTCAGCTCTTCACTATCTTCAAATTAACTGCCAAAAAGTGGTACTCAATGCGACTGAAAGGTTCGAATGTTCAAATTCTTGAATGCGACTTACCGATAACTCTAACATATCCGCATTATGCCATATCAGCTCTTTAAGATTGGGAAATTTCAGTCTCACCAGTGATCGATCGTTTAGCTGAAAATAATTAAGTTGATTCTTTTATTGGAGAAAGTTTCAAAGTACAAAAAAGAAACGGTAAGACAGCTGGAATTGAATTTTTCCAACGAGCACTATAAAACTATGGAACTAATCGAGTACTTGACCCCATAATTTTGGAATGCACGTACAAATTCTATTCGGTGGAGTTTAACAGCGACATTGGTCTATAAGTCTATAAAAATTTCACTGTTCTGTGACAATAAACCCTGGATTTGTGGAAAGCTCGAATGTCCATGCTAGGGTATATGAGAGATATCAAAATAGAATCCTGTGGCAAATCGCACAACAAAAGGTTGAGACGGCCAGTTTAGATAACGCCTTCAGGATGCGTAATGCGATCATCGTATATGTTGGGGAGTAAGGTACTCAAAGGCTTAAGTGCTTTAGGGAACGGCTTGTCACGGTCAAAGATGGGGAGGTTGCTCGAGCGAGTCCATCTATCATAAACTACGTATACCAAACATTAGCGTTTTACAGCTATGCGGCCAATACGAACGATAAGATTTAACAGCAAAATTTCTACTCGAAATCTATGCCGAAGCGCTATCCAATTTTTGAGTGGTGAATATTGTTAGCTAAGGCACATAGACTTCCAAACATTCTTACAGAAGCGTGAAAGTGAAAGGGTATTATCGAAAAGCGAATTTGAATTGGACTTGTTACGACAACAAGAAATTCTCTCATAGCAGCCCTTTTCCTGGATCCTGGATTTACTACAATTCACAGCTAATTTTCAAAGCAGTTCCATGAGAACACTTATAAATGGATTAACGTGACCCTGGCTCTGAAGCCTCAATGAAATTTCAAACCAGTATGAATGTACTGCAAAAACTCCACGGTAGACAACCCTTTCGAACAAGTAATAAAACGGATTTTATTGAATGCAAGGCGTGAAACCGCTATACGTATAATTTGGAAACATGGGAACCTACCTCCAAATCTCCCAAATTCAGTGTTGTAATAACGTCCCTTCGAGAAGCAACCATATCAATGAATGTCTCCGATTTTAGAAATGATGGAGAATAAATATATTCAGATGTTCTGTAATGATACTGGAATTGAACAAATACATTTTCGGCAAAAGTGTTCGAAATAGCGGAAGCTCAAGTAAACTTGAGCTCCTGCAGTGATTAGGCAAGAGAAGACCCAATTTGAAGCACAAGTTTCAAAATGCTCAAAACCTCTTCCACTTTCTCCTTAATCGAGGAACACCGCTGTGGGGTCATCTGAATCTACAGAGGCACTGGGATCCCTTCAGAGTCAAGGATAAGGAACATTGTGTGATCATCGTCCAATTCAGAAACTGCAGCAACACTACAAAGTGAGAACTGCTTCATTCCAGTAAATTGCCGACGTTGAACGAGTATGAGTAGACAAGATGAACGAGTCTACAGCAATGTGTGCGGCACCAAACTGAACCTAACCTTTGATGAGAAGAGATGATGCGATCCTCAAAACCGGTGCGGTTATCCCAAAACCAAGCTTTTAATAGGCCGTTGTCGTTCTCGTGGACGTGCTTTTGTACACGCTCTCAACACAAAGGTTCAAAAATTTCTCCGCGCACAGGGCTGAATGCAGCTACTTCGAGTTACGTGAAACTAGTGCACAGCTGAAGCAAGTTTTAACCCATTTGTGTCCCAAAATAAGAATGCTATATGTATATCATGTGAACCGATGAGTGGCTCATGCCTTCGTTTGACATGACCAAGTTGATTGGTGTAGGTAATTCATTACCTGCCTACGGTATAAGTCAGCGAGGACGCAAATGGTCTACGATAAAACCGAAAAAGAGCTTACTTACGTTGGATTATAAATCAACAGAAATTTGAATATTTGAAAAAAAGATGAACTATCACTCACCTGGGGAAATCTCGTAGGAAAAGATCACGAATTTTCTCTTGCAGAATTACGGGACACCTTGGCAGCTGTTCCTCAGAGTAGGAACACAACCAACCGAGTGCATATGGAGTGAAACTCTCTGAACATATCATTGACAGTAACCTCTTTGATTCCCACACTTTTTTAATCTACAATAACACTTCGCCAAGAACTTCACCCCGAACGTCTACCACAGAGAATGCTTCCGAGTAACAGGTAAGCAATCAGTCAGTGAATACATACCAAGCATGAATGGGCTTTCTTCTTCTTCGGATTTCCACTTGGCCTCCATCAAATAGCGCAACTTCCGCACCAGAAGTCTGACTTCATCATGGAATGTCTTTGCATATACGTTTCCTTGCTCTTCTACGTTTACAAAAGTTCGCAAGAATGGGTTCTGTAATAGAGCTGATCGGGTGTTATTACTTCTTACCAGACCTTCCTACCTTATTGCGGAAGAAGCATGCGATTTCAATCATAGGCTTATTCCATTTTGCACGTTTCAATCGTTCAACGCAAAGCTCGTCCCACGAGGCATCAACCAAGGACAACTTGAGCAACAATGGCGTAAGCAAAAGACGGTCTATCACTTCTCGTTTCACATCAGCAACCAAATCTTGAGATATCAGCTCAACAGAGTTCTCTGGAAACGATAAACATGAAAATCTAAAAGAACTAAACCTAATTAAAACTGCTATCCAACCTTGTTTTTCTTTCTCATCCTCTTTTGTATTTTGTGTTTCACTGAGCAACCTACGCTTCTTCTTCCTCTTCGAAAAACGAGATTTCTTAGAGATATTGCTGCTGGGAGTTTCTTGTTTCCCACCTAAACTCAAAAGATTACTGTTCTACAATACCACTATGTACCGAGTTCCATAAAGTGGGAGATAACTAGGAACGAGCAGCAATTCGACTAGCATGTCACTAGCGAACACGAATATCAGGAAATGATCTCATACGGCATGATCTCGACAACATGTGTCTCTCCCACATCTCAAACCCGATTTTGTGAGGACCGTGTTTACCCACTACTTTATAGAAAACTCACAACTTTTCGCTAAGGCTCATCGGGGTTCCCTGCCACCGTTTATCAGTACCTTAAGTCTAGAGTTATGTGTCGGTTAGTCAATACCAGCTTGAAGTGTCAAGCTGGAAATTTGATCAAATCACCCATCTTTTCACCTATACTATATAATTACATGCAATTTTTTTCGCAGTCTACGGGTAAAGGAAGCTGTCTTGAACGCCCTATCGCTCCTGTCGAGCATTGGTGGTAAACTTAGTGTTTTTTCATTATGCTTCGAGTAATATTTCTACGACGATTGCCTAAAGCACTGTATAAATTCCGCTTCCTCTTTCTTGTCGTCAACAGAAGCACATATGGACAATATAATTCAAGTTGACAACTTTTCTCACATAATTTTGCACTTCATTGAAAATTCATGTGAAATACATGCTCGTGCTTATTGTGGAGACACAAGAAAGACATGAAACCAGCTATAAGCGAAGCGCAACGAATGGCGTGACCTGATCGTTCCATAAAAATTGTCGAATAAATTATGTGTAGCGGTCCCCTGCCAAAACAATGAATAGTGTTGTGATTCTGTGATTCTATAATTACGAAAAAAGCGTGAGCATTGCACACAATTGGCATTGGATGACATGAGGAAAGAGAATAAAAGAGCGCTTACATGTGTTACCCTTTGAACTCCGACGTTTTCGTTTGCGTGTCCGTTTTGGATTTGAAGACTGCGTATTCTGCGCATTTTCGCTAGAAATATGAATCGTAGATATGTCAGCTAAAACTGTAGAGGCTGGAGCGGATGTTCCACAATGTACTTTCACATCATCATCATCATCAAAATAAGTATGTTCAGCACAGACTCCAATATTTTCAGCTGAATTCCAGTGATTCACACTATCTCCAACGATCAAAGGTAGAGAACCACTTGGGGGAAGGCTTCGTTTAGAATGCAGTCCGTTTTTCGATTCACTGTCACTAAAGCACTGCCTAGGAACGCCGGTTGTCATTTACTGTCTTCTGAAAGAGCAACCACATCATTGTTTGGCTATCTCCTTGTATATACACACAAAGCATGCACTATAAGGTAGATGGGCAGAGTAACTTTACCGATAACAATTGCATGGATCCGAAAATTTATTATGTAAAATACTTATTTCAAGGAATTTTCACTATAACACTGAAAGTGCTGGAACGAGTAAGCGACGACTAGCAGGCATAACAGCAATGTACAGTTACAATCACTGACTAGTAACATATTTTACAAAACTTTAAGAAAGAAATACGTTAGGCAGACAAGCAGTGAGCATTGGTGTTGCAGTATTACTGCAATCACAAAATATCACAATACATAACAAAGCCAATGGGCAACAACGAGAGACTACGATATGAGCGGAATGGTCCATATGGTACAAGTATGACCTGCTGAAAGGAAATTATGGTACACTTAACAGAAAATGAGCAATCGAAAACTAGGCCATGCGCATAACTCGCTGATGTTGTCACATCTTAAATTAAATTCCTTAGAAACGCTATTACTTCCGCTGTTCAATTATGTAGGTTTATTACTGGTACAGCACTTCAGGTTGCGGTACTTCTCCCCGATTTCCCACGGCTAGCGGCAGTGGTTCCGCGGCGGCTACGATATTTTTCCATTGGAGAATCGAACCTTTCCCTTCATAGCACGCAACGCGAGTTTCGGGGAGAAGTACCCACATCGCAGCACTTCAGATGAGAGGCGTCGATCAGACGCCCAACAACAACAGAATAAAACGTAGCGAGAATGCAGATGGCCAAAGAAAGCTACGGAAAACTGACCCTCCTACAAAGGCTATTATATATCATTGTGAAGCAAAGACAGGCCTGAATTTCTCAAAGTTTCGACCCTTTTCTCTCAATGCTTTCATATTTGCGTTGATCATTTTGCAGCTTTGTTTCGCTTTCTCACAGAGCCTGTTTACTTCCTTCTTTTCTTCAACGACAGCCAACATCGCTGCCAGAAGATCACTCTGAATCGATTTTTCTTAGCGATTTAAAACAATGAATGGAAGTAAAAAAGTCGAGCGATTACATTTGCAGTGAGGTTATCGTTCATTCCTTCACCCAGCTGCTTGAAGCGCATATTCAGGTCTCGGTACTTAACCTAAAACAGAATCACTGTCAATCACACTGAATGAAAACAACTCGATGGATTAAGTAACTCACTTCAAGTTCCACTTCTCTTTTGCTGAGCCGCAACATTTCTTCCTTACTCTTGAGAAGCTCCCTTTCATGCACAAGAGCAAACCATGAGTCCATTGCCCATTCGTTTTCAGGATCTAATAAGTAATTACATGTAAATATAGTATCGAGCATCATTTTGCATTCCATGAAACAAAACCCCATCGGAATTATGCGCGAATATAATCGGTACTACATGAACCGGTATTTTTATTACCTTCAATGAGCTTCAGTTCTAGAGACTGTCCAATAGACTTTATCTCTTCCAGGCGTATTTCACACTCTTGCAACCCACGTTGTATTTCTTGCGCTCCTCGACGGCGTTCATCATCATGTTGCCTACAAAGTATCTGTAGTAAGATCCTGAAGTAAGTATTAAAATGTACTCGCAGACCTTCTGATCTTTTCCGCTCTTCTCTGGAAAAGACGTATATTCCGCTCGTTCAGTGAGATGTGAGCAGATGATTCACCTTCATCTGAACAACATATCTGCGTAAAGGACACAAAACATCTATCTACCGAGAATGAATACCAGAGTCCAGTCGAGGAGACGGTGCTACAGCCGCTAGCGGTACGTCGCGACTTTCCAACTCAGTTCCTGGTAAAGTATTGGTTGGATGAGGAGATGTGCACGATGAACTTGTAGGGGAAGAAGAATGGGCATCTAAAAAGACATAAGTTTGCAGTAATAGATTAAAGTTCTCATTCGCTGAACAGTTAATAAGAGCTTGGAGAAGCTTACTGTTCTTTATAAGGATCATCCAAACCATTTATGGTTCGAGGAATTACGAAATTTCCGAAGGAATTTCAGAAGGGGATTTACAGATGGCAAACATGAAAACACTAATTAAATAACTCAAGTGTCTGACTCTAGTTCTATTCCTTTTTAGCAAAACAGGCTTTCAACGAGATCAGTAGGGGATTTAGAAGGCCGACAATAAGGAACAAATCGTACCTCTTGAATGGGCTTCACGCCTCATTTTGAAACGATGCAACGAATTAGCAAGGATGTTGGTTTCCTTACGGCTTTCAGAATGCACCACATCATTAGGGTTATAACGGTTCACAGCGTGCTGAATAAGTACATCAATTCACATCAAAACAAATGTTGCAGCGAAAAAATATGTGCCTCACCTGCATATTTAACGCCGAGTCAGGGACAGATGAACGTGGCCGCAAGCCAGCGTCCTCGTACGTAGTTTGTTGGATTGCAGTGGATTGTTTCGCTTCCTCCTTGACTTCTCCCTTCAAACAAACCGAATGATTAATATTTATCTTTTCCGTAGAGGTTGGACGAATATTGCATTAAAATCCAGAACCACCTTGTTCGACAACTGCAATCGATCTTCCAAAATGCTCTGCTCCTCAACGAACAGCCCGCCTCGTTTGGAGAGTACTTGATCATTTTCCAAGCCCACCTGAAAAAGATCATGGGTAGGTATAACATAAGATGAACTGAAAAAACAACACAAAATGTTGAGCCAAATAGCACACCTTAGCTCCTTGAACGTTCTGAAGGACTGCCCCAGAACGGACCGATGAAGGTGTTGTTTCATCAACGACAGACACTGATTTTTCGTGGCCTGAAGAAAAAAAAACTCACAAAACAGGAACATCACGAAAAGATGAAAAATTGAACTGAGGCATCGGAAAGTTAGGAGCCGTGGTTGACAAATTAAAAACAGTGGAAATTGAAAACCGATAATGAGTCACCAACCCAGTCCCAGTTCTTCATCAGTCTTCAATTTAGCTTTTAATCTAGACTCGGTCCGCAAACGCTCCAAATCAGCAGCCTTCCTCTAGAATGATACAGTGAAAAGCTAATTTTGAATTAGAAGAGAGGAAGAACCAACCACCTTCTTAATGTCACCAGCCAGTACAGTTGATGGAGGAGTAGCGAAAATGTCTGGATCCGAGTTGCCGTTTGACGTTGAATCTGAAGATCGACCACTGATGCCAGGATCACGACTGCAACCGCTATGCGTAAAGCGCTCCATCGGAGTATGGAAGGATTCGACCTGCAACCGCTCTAGTTTTGGTGAGCATATTTAGCAGTAATGTAAAAACTTTAGATTTCAGGTTCATTTTAAAAACTTCATGGTTCTATTTCAATTCATGACTAACTCGGATTGGATCTCTAAAAAGGGCTATAAAGTTTCCAACGATCGTTTCAAGTCGCTGGATAGTTTTCATCTCAACTCTCGAAGGATATAACTTTCAGCACTGACCAAGCCCGTTCGCGCGGAAGGTACAAAATCACTCTGGAGATGATACTGATGTGATATTCAATGGCATTAATAGGGTGCGCATCCATCAGTGAAGGTGGAATAAACCACTGAAATCATTATCGAATGGCATTGCGCTCCAAAATCTAAGGATTGAAACTTAGGAGTTATAAACCTTCAGCAAATTATCCTATCAACAAATTATCCTGTTAACTAATTACTTATAAAATCCAACTAGTAAAACGTCATATGAATGAGCCGAAAAACACTAACAGTAGTATAGTCGCTTCTCTGAGATAAACTCGCAGAATTTCCAGGTGTGCTCATAGGTGGGTTCCTTCGACGATTTATCCTCTCAATGACAGACACTACCTATAAATCATTGAACATGAGAGCATGGTAAAAAGAAGTATCACATTAGCCGATGATCATAAAAAATTAACCTGCTCTTCTGTAAAGGGTCGGTCAGGATCTTCTTCAGAATACTGCAGCACTGTTCTTTCGAGTTCTTCGAGATCCCCTTCTCCTAGCTCATCCCCTTCCTCATCGGAAATACTCGCATCGTTCTCGCTAACAGAGGCGGCAGAACTGTTCCTACCTAGAAACATCAATCGCGAATTTTTTGGAAATATCGACGATGTTGACTTCATCTCTTACCTTCGTCCAATTCCCCTTCGGAATCAGAAGTAGAACTTAGTGAATCCATCTCGATCTGAGGCTGTACAAGATCAACGCATGACTGAAGATTTAATCATTAGAGACTCTAAGCCGTGGGGTTGAAACGATACCCACGCACCGCTGTGCTAGATTTCCGCAGATGATTACTGAATTCGGCTCTTTCAGGTGTTCGGTCATCAACAGAGGGAACTTCAGAAACTGGCGAAATCGGGCCACCCTGAAGTTCATTAGTAAGCAAACTTAAACGACAAAGTATCGTGGCGATTGACTTAAATTTCAAAACAGGTGCATGAAGCAGCAAAAGCTAACGAATTACAAAAATCATCCCATTCAACTTACCATTACGTTGTCACGCATTCTCTGAACAGTTCTATCTCGAAGATGCTCAGCAGGGAAAAAACTGAGTGTGGCAGTGTGTTGAACAGGTTGATCACTGGAAACACAAAATGGACTTTGAACGGGTATAGTGTCAAGCTCATGTGAGAGCCACATACCTTGCGGGCACAAGATCCTTCCGTTTTGTAACATTAGGAGAATAGAACGAGGCGCTTCCTGGATTCAAACTGGTCAGTATCCCATCGCGGCTATTATTCTTCTCCATCAATCGTGCGCACCGCTCGATGCGCGAAATCTTCTCCTTTAACGGCAAACGCAAATGAGTTTTGCAGAAAAATCTGTAAACAGACGATCAACCACACAATAAACAATACTGTTGACAGTGGGTAAAAATGCAATTCATGTACATCTAAAACAATGGGAAAAGCCTTAGGATGTTTCAATCCTTCTAGCTTAGCGGCTAACCTTCTTGGGTAGTGGAAGTCAAGATCCTTATCCTTTCCACATTCTCCTAGTCGCAGGGGTTGGTTGCAATAAGAGCAGCGAAAGCAGTTCTTATGAACAAACATTGATTCTACTTGCATACGCTCTGCCAAGTATACGACCTAAAACGAACCTTAAGAGAAGGCTGGATTTCAATATTTCATTCTCAAAAATTAGCCAAGTACGAACTTTTTCACATATCTGACACGTTTCCTGCCGATTCGCATTGACACTCTCGTAAAGAGCCGACATCGACGGTGCGGAGAAGTGGCGCTTCGGCTGCACAGGTGCCACTGGCTAGAAGGTTATAAGTCATAAGCATCAGTAAGTAGATTGTGACTACTCAATTAATCTCCCACCCTTATAACAACCGTATCGCGCTTTTCCACCGAAATTTGTTTTTTCGTTGGAGATATGGGTGGGATAGATTCGACGTTCTGAAATATAATAAGTCTTCTCTTTTCTGCGTTTCTCTCCAACGAATCTTTGTCAAAGTGTAGTGCTTCCGAAATATTTTCAACATTCAGTCAGCACTGTCAGTGATGAGTTTGGGTACCTTAACTTTTCATAAAATTTGAAGTCAGCGAAACCCTTTCTTTTCACAACTTTACATAGTTTTCAAACTTATCACCCTTATCCTACTTTGTACCTAAGAGAGGTGGCACAATATTAAAGGGAAATATAATCCTTGATTGATGGAAGTCCTTGCCATCCAACTCCCTATCGTGCTGTGGCCGGTTTATTGGAACAGACACATCAGGGAGTAAAAAAGAAAGGACATGTGAAACAACTGGCTTGTAGAGAACTTATAGGCCAAAAACACAACTACAGATTCAGGAAAATAACAGAATGCATAAACAGATACTAAAATGAGAATAACCATGACAGAAACGTTACCTTTTTTATTTC